GATCTTAAATAGATATACGAACCAGAACTCTGAGGGCAGCTTCATTAAGCTGCCGACGGCGGCAAAACCTCCCCCCGAGTGAATGTTGAGTTTTATTGTTTAATTTACTTTTGTTCACATTTCTTTTTGTATTGTCCTACACTCCCTTCCCCTTTGATTCTAAGCCGCCCTGAGTCCCCTCAGGGAAAAGGGCGGCCTATAAATGTGCAATAAATACAAATACAAATACAAAAAATACAAAATTGCTTTGAAAGTCATTGAATTTGGTATTCAACACATTTTGACTTGAAAATTTTGTCCTGGCACTCATCATTTGTTTGGTACTCAACATACAAACTAGAAATTGTCAATGTCACCTGCTTTGTGATTCATTACATTATTCCTTATGGAAAAATGTGTTTGGTACTGATTGTTTTTGGTACTTATCATGCCTCCTGGAACCAATTAATGATGAGTACCGAGGTACCACTGTATTACTTCTTTATCACAGCCCGCAGGGCAATCCTCTCTACATTTTGTGATACAACTCTCAGAAAATCTGAGGAACAGAGCATCCATGACCATCTGTGTATGTATGTAAAAATCTGCAAGATGGTAAGTGTGGCATCACAATCCACATTCTGCCCCCTTTGACCTGTATTACACATATAACAAAATAGAAAGGGCTTGAGGCTCATGAGGCTCCCTTACCTGTTTTCACCCCTCCCTTACACACACACAACATGGACATCATTGATGCTGAGCCAGAATTGTGTAAAGAGTGGGAAATCTATGGGTTATAGATCTAAAACTGGGAGCAAGGCACCAGAATGAGAGTTGTATAAATTAGCTCCCAAGGTTGCAATTATTGTCCAGTATTTCAGAATAGAACCGGTTCGGGGGCATGGCTGGCCTGGGTCACTGCCAGTTCCAGCGGCCACCAAGTTACTACCTATTTGGCCGAACTGGTCTGAACCGGTAGGACCCACCTCTGGTGTGTATGTGCAGTCATTGTAATTTTGAAAATAGGTTGTGAGTACTCTAGGCAGGTTTGTTATAACTTCAATCTCTCTCCTCCCCCCTCTTCCCTTCCCTCCTTCCCTCCCTCTCTCTCTGTATCTCTATCTCTGTCTTTCTCTGTCTCTCTCTTCCTCCCTCCCTCTATCTCCATTCACACACACACATACACACAAACTCCAAACTATTAGTAGCTTGCACATGAAAAACAAGAAACAAAGAACTGCGGAATGTTATATACACCCAGAAGAGAAAGACATGCATAGCAAAAAATCAACAACACATTATTCCCCTTCAAGACCCTTGGAGAGTAGCTAGGTTTTGTATAAGGTGACCAGATGTCCCGATTTTGGCGGGACAGTCACGATTTCTAACAATTTGTCCCATGTCACAGGGTGTTTTAAAAAAGTCCCGATTTTCTGGCTTCATGTTGAAAGCCCAGTGGATTTGCTTAAGAAATCCTAACCGGAGCAAGACAAAAGACACTCTGTCTAACCTCTCTCTCTGTCTCAGTACTTTCATTGAGGATATTAAAACATTAAAGCAAGAAAACGCCCCCCCCCCGCCTTTTTACCTCCTTTTATAAGAAAAAATGACTCAGTACCATAGAGCTCCAGGAAATACTTTGGCTAGAGAAGTAGCGACTGTTCCTTCCTGGATTTCCCGGATGGGAGGGGTACAGAGGTTGGAGGTCAGCTCGTGTGGGGAAAAATGGTGGCTCCTCATTTTTCTTTGAAAAATATTTCCCTGGGACTAATTTCACCATTTTAATTTGCTCAGTTCTTTGTATTAACATCTACATCATTCTGGATTGACTTGGAATGCCTGCCTGCTGGTAAGTGAGCTGGGTTTTTTTAAATTTTTTAATGTATTTTAAAATAATACTTTATTTATTGTGCATAGGATTTTTTAAAATAGTTTTATTCTGTGTGGATTCTTTTTTTAAATTGTCTTAGATTATTTAAAAAAAGATTCTATCCAAAATAAATTGAAGTGAAACCATTTTGAAAAATTCTATGCACAATACTTTGAAATATATTGTGCATAGAATTTTTAGAAATAGTTTTACTTCAATTTATTCTGTGTGGAATAGTTTGAAATGTTTTACTTCAATTTATTCTGTCTGGATTCTTTTTTTAAATTGTTTTAGATTATTTAAAAAAAGATTCTATCCAAAATACAAAATACCAGCTGCAGTTATTCACTTAAGAACTGTGGCAATAAAGGTGGTATAGTGACCAAAGTTACAATGGCATTGAAAAAAGTGACTGATGACCATTTTTCACACTTAGCGACCATTTTCACACTTAGCGACCGTTGCAGCATCCTCATGGTCACACGATCAAAATTTTGATGTTTGGCAACAGATTCATATTTATGATGGTTTCAGTGTCCTGGGGTCATGTAATTGCCTTTTGTGACCTTTTGACAAAGTCAAATGGGGAAAACAGATTCACTTATGTTACTAACTTATCAGCTGCAGTGATTCACTTAAGGACTGTGGCAAGAAAGGTGGTATAGTGACCAAAGTTACAATGGCATTGAAAAATGTGACTGATGACCATTTTTCACAGTTAGCAACCATTGCAGCATCCTCATTGTCACGTGATCAAAATTTTGATGTTTGGCAACAGTTACAATTTATATTTGTAAATTGTAGTTATGTTGAAATAAAAAAAAATTACAATACTATTTTTGCGTTGTATGAAAATTTTTGTTGCTCCGTATAAAATTTTTAATCAAGCCCCCCCCTCCCCCCGGTCAAAGGTGTCCCTCTTTACCAATCTGAAAATCTGGTCACCTTAGTTTTGTAGAATATTGAGAATGTCATCAGGATCAGAGACGTGTGAGGATACTGGATGAATTAAATTTGCACCTGCAGACAGTTAAAACCTATTTTTTGTTTAGACCTTTTTCTAGAACATTATTTAAAATGGGGAAAAGGAAGAAAGAGTCAAAAAAGAAATCCATTAACTTGGGCAGTGAAGCTGATAAGTGGATGTCTGATTTACCAGAAAGTCTTTGGGCTGTACCTCTCTCTAATCTGTCATTACCAGGTAAGTAATGCATTTTGAAACAACATTTGGCTAATTGGAAAGAACACAACACAACATAATACAATACAACATAACACAACGCAGCACAACACAACATCATAAAAGCATAATTAGCATTACCTTTTTGAATTCTTAATATCTTTGCAATACATCTCTTCAAAAAATGTAGAAATAAAGGGTGGATTTGCTATATCTGCATGCACTTTAGAGCTTTAGAACATTGTATAGTGTTCTGTGCATCTTGTTAAAATGTATCTAAAATAAAAGGATGTTAGTGAAAACCAAGGTTTAAACTACCCATTGAAGAAGAAGAAATCACCAGGGCCACACAAGGGTTTTTTTCAGTTTAGTTTCCCAACCTCTGTAAACCCTGATTTAAATAAATGCATAAGATTTCCCAGGATAGCTTTAATTGAACCCTATGAACTAGAAGTTGCTCTAATGGCTATGCCAACCAAGTTCCATCAATGTCTAAATTAAGGTGTGATGAAAATCATCCCCATTTGGACGATGCTTCAAAAAATATATTAAAGAAGAACCCAGGAAGATCACACTGAAACAAATTCCTGCACCATACACCCCCCAAAGGATGACTGGTGCCAGAGGTACAGCATATCTAATCCATCCGGGGTGGGGTCTTAGGTAGCACTTACCATATTTGATACAGAGATGAAAGAAGGATTGTTTTAATGAAGAGAAGTGTGTTTTACCTTACTTTAAAAAAGAAGTCATCTTTTCTTGATGATTACCTGATCATGTCACCACTTTGCTCTCAGGTAAGATTTATTACTTGTATTTATTACTTATAATATTTGATGGTTTGCTGGGAATTATAAAAAAACTCAAAGAGCAGACTTTGAGGGACCACTAGGTCTGTTTCTGCAGTCAGTTTTCTCTGGTTTTACATTAGAGTAAGAAGAGTCTTAGAGTGAACTCTGGTGCAGTGGTAAGATTTGAAAAGGCTGACAAATGATTAAGATTAGGTTGACTTTGTCTTTAATCCTATATAGGTAGTCATGATGCAATGACATATTGTCTGGATAAGAAGTCAGAAGTCAGTGCAAATGGATCCAAATTGTTGCAGTTACTTGATAAACATATGCATTGGATAGTGCACCCTATTATTTTGAGATGGTCAATAACACAGGTAAATATTTTTGGACTTCCCACTTTGTATTTTTGGAGCTCTGTTTTTACAAAATTAAATTTGCTTATGCATTTTTTAAATTTCTGCAATACATAGACTAATACAATATCATAAGAAAGAGCAAAATCATTGGATGAAAGTGATCTATGTTCCATTTATTTTGTGTTAGAAACATTGTGGATTTTACCAAAGGCTTGTAGTCTGCAGTCCAAAACTGTTCTCTTCCTAAAACTGTTTAAAATTTAGGAAATGTATATCATTGATAATTAAACTATATCTTTCTTGCAAACATTTTAGAAACTTTTGATTTTTTTAAAAACGTTTCAGGATCTGACTGTGTTGGAACAATTGGATGCTGGAATTAGGTATTTCGATTTTAGAATAGCTCACAAACCTGATGACCCTTCCATGAAATTATACTTCGTTCATATGTTATATACAACAGTGGAAGTAGAGGTACATTTTCTTAACTGAATTCTATTGAAATCATGTGTTGTGAAGTCTGCCCTCTGTCCCTTCTGAGATATTTGCCAATTATAATTGATTCCTTTTCTTCCATGTCTCACACTGCATGTTATCAATCTTACATTGATTTTTATAGGTTGTTCTATGGGACATTTTACGATGGTTGAAAGACCATCCTTGGGAGGTGGTTGTTCTAGCTTTCAGAAATTTTGATGGCTTGGATGAGATTCATCACAATCATTTGGTCTCCTGCATAAAGAAGATCTTCAGTTCCAGATTGTGTCCTAGAAATGTGAGTTGCTTAGAAAACTTAGTTTTAAGATTTTGAGACTATGAGATTACTAATTCACATTGGTATGGTCAGATATTATACTGAGGGAATGTGGAGTGATCATATACAACTGAGTGATACTGTAATACTTGGCAAAATTTGAACAATTCCTGGGTAATACTAAATGACCCCTGCAGAACTTGTCCAATAGAATTCATTACAGCTGTATCCCAAGTCTGTTGGATATGAATAATAGAGAACCAGTTTACTCTAGTGGTTAAGGCATCAGGCTAGAAAGTAGTTCTAGTCCCACTTTAGCTATGAAAGCCAGTTGGGTGACTTTGGGCCAGTCATTCTTTCTCTTAGCCCAACTCTCCTCACAAGGTTGTTGTTTTGGGGAAAATAGGAGGAAGATGTGTTGTATATGTTTGCTGCCTTCAATTATTTGTAAAAATAATAAAGGTGGGATATAAATAAATGAAATACAAATGTTATCTTACTCTTCCTTTCAGATTATCCCAACCCTCCGCAATATGTGGTCAAATGGCTACCAAGTTATTGTGTCTTATGACGAAATAATGCAAGTGGTGCATCATAGTGAATTGTGGCCTGCAATTCCGTACTGGTGGGGAAATAAGGATACAGCACGAAAGCTTATTGAGGTTTTGGAAAAAAAGAAGCAAAGTGGTCGCCCAGGTATTTGTCCCTTCTGTGTATATGGTGTATATCCTGAATCAACTCCTGAGTTCCCCTCCATGAGCGTTCCAACATATATCCACCAAAACTCAGCAACCAGCTTTTGTGATGATAGACCAAAAAACCACAAAAGCCAAGCAATCTTCAGTCCCCGCCTTCCCCTGTTTGTTAGCCGCCCTGAGTCTCTCGCCCTGAGTCTCTCGGGAATAGGACAGCATACAAATTGAATAAACATTCAAACATTCAAACAGTTTATGAGGATTTGCATTAGGTCTAGTGATCAGATCAAGAAGTCCACCAATTCGATGAGATTTCCTGCAGCCCATGTTTTTTTTTTTTTTGGCTGGAAACAAGGTTCCAAAATTTTCACATAATTCAGAAATGTGTTCCCATCTTTGCAGTCAGATGGATATATGTAGAAATGATTTTATATTAAAAAAGCTTTAATATGAGCAGAGCAACATTTTTATACTGAATAACAAGGATGTTGAAAATACCTGTTTTAATTTGGGTTGATTTGCGGATACTCAGGCAGACATTTCTAGACTGAATTTGGGATTCATCCAAAATAAGATGTAAGAAAGGTATATTCTTTCTGTCCCTTAGTTGCAAGTCACCTTAGGGATGCTCATAATGCATATATTTTGCAAATAAAGTGAGTTATCATATCCTATTAAAATAAATGGATGAGACATTCCTTTCTTTGGAAAATTGTTGGTAATTGTTACAAGAATCAAATGGCAATTCTTATTCCTGTTTTTCCCCTTCCAGATGGATTATTTGTCGCAGGAATCAATCTTACTGCAGATTTAGGATATATTTTGGCAAATATAAACAGCTCTGTTAAAAAAATGACTCTGAAGGCTCTTCCATTACTAAATATGTGGGTAAAGAAACAGCATCCTGGATCAAAAAAGGACTGCATTAACATCGTTGCTGGAGACTTTATAGAAAAGAATAATTTTGTGGAGAATGTGATAAACCTTAATACCAAACTGATTTTACAATAACTCCATTTAGATCATGTTTTGAAAGGAGATGATGGGACTAACTGCAAGGATAAAGTAAGATGTAATACAGCAAATAATTCACCTTCATATTTTTAACCTGCAGTTAAGTACTTGTTTAAAAACTGTATTTATGCATCACTGTAGAAAATGTCATGTTTTTAAAAAAAAGATCTTTCATGGAATAATTGGTTCTCCTGCAAAACGTGCAGCATCTACAGAATTTTGAAACATGGAGAACTTTGATCATCTAATTAGTTCTGTATATTTGACTACCTCTGTGCTGTCCCGCTCACTTGCATGCACATGTAACGGTGCTTTAGTAGGTTTATTGATGCTCCCTGGCAATTCCCTTCACCAAAACTTCAGAACTGTCCCAATTAAGTCCAGCCAAAAGAAGACCTATGTTAGTCCACAGAGCAATAACCAATGAGTCCACAAGGTACTTGAAAGTTTCCCAGGCAAGACAAATCCACCAGGTAAAATTAAATCCACAACACAAGGGGGTTCATGAGGCAAGAAAAATCCAGAGTTCACAAGGCATGATCCAAAGTCAAGGCACAGTGTCAGTCCAATGCAAGGCAGGAATCACAACGACCAGGAAACACGCAGCTAGGAAATAAACATGTTGTCTCCACCATCTGCCTATGTCAAATAGTGCAGCCCATCAAGAGGGATGAAGCTACCTCCTCATGAGTAATCAGGCTGACCTTCACTGCTCCTGCCTTTTCTCTGTCCTATGTGATGCAGTTCCTCCTAATCACCAACTGGCTGCAGTTGCATGCTTTCCCCACCTGAAGCCTCAGGGCTGCCATGCTGCAGCTACGCTTCAGCCAAATCCTTCTCAGCAGTTGCCTGAAGCCATTGACCAACTCCCCTCCTAATAGTGCCTGGTACTGGTACATCCTTCTCTGAACTCACATCTGTAAAGGTATCTGGTAACACATCCAGGGATGTCATCATACCTTCCAAGATCATACTTGAAAAGAAGTTGTGCATTTTAGTAAGTAATGCTTTCCTCGTATACACTTGTGTCATAGCCCCATTGAATCCTGGTTGAGAGAAGGAAGATAAGTTGGAACCAGGACCATCCGACAGGGATGGCATGTCTCCCTTCGGATGCTTGGAGAGGCCATGGGCTGAGAAAGCTGCTGTCCCAGGTATATCAGGCATTGGAGGAGGTGGTCGACTGGGTGGTGTGCTCCCTGACCTCACAAACATGGGGAAGGATCAGCTGCAGACTGGCAGTGGTGTTGCGAGGCAGTAGATCTCCTCTGATGAAGAACAGCTGCCTCCCCCACTCAATCCAGGGGCATGGAGAGTGGAGCAGAGGCAAACTCAAAGGAGGTCTGTGAGGTTGCTTGCAAGGTCACCCTGCCCCTCCTCACAAGGAACACCTGGCTTGGGTTGAATTAAGCAGAGCCCAGGAAGGAACAATTCTTTGCTTTGGCATGTACTTCCCTGGCCTTGGAAAAATTCTGCTTTGATTTGGATTTCTGCCTATGGATTTTGACTCTTGCCTCTGGACCTCTTATCCTGTGCACCTGGAATTTTGTGTACAACTTGACCTTGCCTTGTGGATTTGCGCCTTGTTTTTGGACTTCCTCTCTGCCTTTGTGATTTAGCTCTGGTGATTATTGGCTTTTATTTATGGGACTGTGAGTGCCTGCCTTCAGGGAAGTTTGGGGTGGAGCTTTGCTGAATGTTGTAGTCAAGTTGTTGTGGACTTAACAGATCAGTAAAGGACACTATTGAAACGTGCTTCTGCCCAAGTGACCTGGGTCATAACAGCTTGACAAATCTGAATTAGTACAAAGAATATAGACAAAGCTGCAATGTAGTTTTGGTTCAGTCATTGTGATTTACAAACCATAGTTTGGCATACCATGACGTAACATATAGAGCCACTTCTGGTTAATTGACAGTAAGTGAACTCAACCACTTAGTTAAGTCAGAGTTTTTCAAACTTGGCAACTTTAAGACATATGGACTTCAATTCCCAAAATCTCCCAGCCAGTAGACTGGCCTGGAAATTCTAAGAGTTGAAGTTCATATGCCCTAAAATTGCCAACCTTGAGTATTATTGATTTTTTTAATGCATTCTATCCCAAAACGAGTTGATGTTAAATAGTACCAGTTAGGATTTTAAGCGAGCTTTTATTTGTAGGTTCCAATAATTGAATATGGGATGTAATGCATGCAAAGTTTTAGTACAAATGAGCTACATTTCCTGAACTCTCATGAGTTCTTAGTAACAAAGAAGGGAAGGCTTAGTGTGTCCTTTTTACATGCAGAGGATAATTGTAGGCAGAATTGAAAACCTAGCCAAGTGACTTGAATGTAAATATAGTTAAATCTTTAGTGGCAATAACTGTATACTATAAAACTGTAAGTTTTTAAAGAGGCCAGAGACTTAGCAGTATGCAGGGTGCAGAAAGCAAAACACATTGATTTTTAATTCTATTTTTAAAATTTTCTCAGGTTTGGATAATTTTTTCAAGTATAAAAAGGGTCGGATTCCAGGGTATTTGTTGCTGTATTGGCAGCTGTAAAATATAAAATTGTATTTAACTTTCTATAAATGCAGCTATAAAATGAGAAAGAGAAATTTCTGCGGCAACCAGTTCTAAATTTTAAGCATTTCTTTGGTCAGTACTTTTCAGTTCAAGATCACAATTGGTTTTTGGAGTGATATACTGTGAATAACACTCCCCAGAGTCGCTACCAGGATAAATGCCACATTTAAAACCAATTAATTTGTATTAATATTGCATTAGCTAAAGTTCATATTATTACTTCTTGTACATTTAATCATTTTCCTTTTGTAGAGCAGTGAAACATAACAATTCAGTAGTGATTTCTGGAGGAATGCTGAAGCTGCACCTGGAACTCTGGAAGTCATGCCATTATGTTATATGGGTTTCAGTGGTTTAAATTTTCAGTGGGTGAAGAGTGGGGGGCTGGATCAAGGTCAATAAAATTTCCATAGCTGAGGGAATAGCCTAGAATCTTGTTCTCTCCAAGTCTAGTTCAGCACTGCCCTGGGAATTTTGTTTGAAAGAACAAAGAATCAGGACTTAACTGTGCTGGAGAAAGGAAAATGTTTCATGATGGCTGAGGTTTATGAGGTTGCATACTATCTTATTTCACAGGCGATGAATTAGGAATGGGAAGTGGACTGTGAATAGCACCCTCCCTGCCACTTTCTTGATCTACCATCCCAAATAATTGTTTGCTGCAATGTTTGCTCTGAGAATCTTCCACAATACCTGTAGCAGGAGTGACAGCAACAAATTCTGTACCTCCCAAATAGAATTAAACTAAAGGGTAATATTATGCATTGAGACCTCCAACCTACGTGGATAAGCCTACAGCATAATGTCCTAGATATTTCCATTTGAGCTGTGCTTTTCTTGGTTGAGCTGCTTATTTTTTTCTCCTTTTCAGCTATTTTTTGTTTTTGTTTTAAGACTCTGCATCTCATGTAAAGCAATCACACATTATTCCAACAGTTGAAGAGACTCCAAATGACGTTATATTTATATATTATATTTTCCAGCATTAAGCAAACTAACTCTAACTCTCTTGGTCTTGTGAAAGGGCTGGAAACCTGGCTATGCCAATTAGTTGGGGCCCTGATGGAGATTCCCCCGCTATAGGTGATTAGGAGATTAAGAAGAGAATCTCATCTACACCCCAGATTGTTGGTTTACCCAGTTTTATGCTAATGCCCAATGTTTAAATGCTTTACATTGCTGTATAAAACATGTATTTAATGTTTTTATGATGTTGCAAGCTGCCCAGAATTGCCTGACAATGAGATGGGTGGCATGTGAATTTAATAAATGAAACACCTCAACCTCTATTCAAATATAATTGTCGCATATAAATAACTACTCCCTGTACAAATATTTAAAATTGACCTGGAACAGCTTTCTTCTCATTGTCATCACTAACTCAGTGTTGAAGAGCTGAGAAGCTTTATAGCAGGAGTAACATTTTTATTAACCATGTTTACATTAATTTTTAAGTCCACTGGAGTCAATGTTGTGTCTATAGTCTCATCACTGTGATTGGAGCTCTTGTCTCTTAAAAAATTGCTGGAGGATCTTTCTCCCAGAAGCAAACAGGTTGTGGCTATCAAGACAAATAACTAGACTGAGGAAATAGTCGTTTGCATTTCCACAGGGCAGAGTCGCTTATAATGACCCTTACTTTAGCTGTATTATCTTCAGGAGCAACATCAACTTCTTGTACTACTGCTTCTTTGTACAGCCAGCTGCAATGATACAATACAACTGTTGTTTTATTACTAGAGAAATAACATTATTAATCAAGAGTATCACAAATCCCATGGTTTCGAGGATGAGAAATATATTCCAAGCTTGCATGTTTTCTTTTTTTGTAAAATTGAATAATTTTAATCTGAAAGGATAGTTTGGAAGACTTTTTGAAATGGGTTTCCTGAGGTTTGAGTCTTATAAACGCAGGTACATAGTCTTCAACGTATGACCATTCACTTAGCAACTATTTGAAGTTATCACCTACCTCAAACAGGGGGCTTACAACCCAGATCCTAAGTTCAAATAGTTGCCCTCCCTGCAGTCATGTGATTGCTTTTTGGTGGCCCAGGAACATGATGGCATTTATGGCCATTTGCAGCATCCTGCAATCCTGTGACCATGTTTTAAGACAGTTTTGCAGGAAACCAGCATCTGGCATTTAATAAAACAGCACCACAGTGAACAGTGAACAGCTTAACAATGCGTGACCACAGCTTTACAGCTAATATCTATAGCTTGGTTTTTTGCTGTTGGCAGGGCAGCAGTTGTGTAAATGCACAGCCAATAAATTAACAGAGAAAAATTATTTTTAGATATTAAATATGCTTAGCAAATAAAAAAATGGATGAGCTAGTAGTATTAAACTTGTCAAAAGAACCAATACAGCAAAAAGAACCAAAAGCAAACTGTTTCTAAAAAGTAGAATTTTGATACTAATTGGCATGATTTTCCAGCCATTGCTGGTGTGTAGTTGTAACTGACCTGAGCTGCGGTCCAGATAAATTGATTTTAATTGTCATAATTTTTTTCCCAGTTCCTTTCAAAACTCTTTCCTCAATTTCTTCTTTCAGCTCTTTTAAACCATGTCCAAGGAGAGCTGAAGTGACTATAGCATTTTGTTCTGTAGGTTGATACCTAGCAGCAGATAGACATCATAAAAATAGACCTTGGCACAGGAGACAATTATGTAATAACTGTAGAAATTTAGCCTGCTTACATAACACACACACACACCCACACACCACACACATTTTATAGGACTATAGATTTCATATTTTAGTTTGTTGTAAATAAGTAAGAAATATTTATTTTCTGATGGGTATTTATCATATCATATTAAAATCACATAGCAGGAAAGCAACCTACATTACATACTAAATGTGTAATAGTGTTACATACTAATACAATTTTGTTTGGAAAATAATTTAAAAGTACCAAAGAGAATCAGAAGGGAGAAAGAAGCCATGAATATGTTCATTTGGAGTCTCTCTCCAAAATCTGAACCATTACACCAATTGCTATGTAGGATTAAGTAAGACAGGTAACAGTCACCTCATAAACTTGTTACATTGGTTTCTTCCATCCCAGATCCACTCCAGATTGTTACTACTTTCTGCTCTTTAGGTAGAATCCTAGTATTTTATTTTTTTAAAATAAGTCTTAAATGTACCATGTAAACTGATCCCTTTTCTGTATAGAAGAATGCAGCTGACATAAATTTAAATAACGAAATAAGTAGTATCATGAGCTAAAGCTGGCAAAATAGCACACTTAGCAATCAGCACCAATTATGTTTCCACAGACTATGTCAATTTTAGAAGCATTTTTAGGCTAAAAATGTATCCTTCAGAAACCAATTTTGTCAAATTATAAGCGAATCATTGATCAGATTAATGAAATTCCTGCTGCGCGTTATAATGAAAATAATAGCATTTTGAAAGTTAGGTTATCTCTTACCTATCTACTAAATCCACTTTGTTGTGTACTTCAATAATGGATTCAAGTAGATGATTGGGAATATTAAGATTCTTGAGAACTGATAATACAGTTTTCTTCTGGAGGCTGGTTTCTGGATGGCTAACGTCTCTCACATGAAGAATCAAATCCTAGCAGCAAATAACACACAAAAATTACTCTGTGATTTGATGGGAAGGAAAAAAAGGTAGGTTAAAGATAGTATCATGAAGCATTCTACTATGCAAATGATGAATATGATGATTCAGCATGAATAAGTCAACTCCTGGATGAAGGCCTTTTCACTGAAAGTTATGGACCATAATCTACCAGATTGCTCCAATGTATGTTGTACATGTTGTATGTATGTTGTAGTTTTTCAACTTTCCAATCAAGAGTTGAAGTATAGTCATTTTTCCAACCTGAGTCTTCTCTCTCCAAATCCAGCTTCTTAACCATGGCATCATGCCAACCCTCAGGAAGTCAATTCCAAAAATGTGTAGTTATACAATACTAGCGTTTCCTATAGGTGTTTGAATAAAAGGTTGAATTCTTCACAGCAACCATACATTACAGAAGGACTGGTAATGCTGCATGAGTTGGAAACATAGTTTAAACTAAAGATACTGTCATTCAAAGCCGACATTCAGTTCTGCCAAATGATGTTTTGCTACTGTTTGCATTATGTACTTGTTTTCTTTTCTTTTACTCTTAAATTAGAAACAGACCTGTTATTCTTTTTTGAATCAATAAAATGAATGAATGAACAAAGAAATATGCAATTGCTGTGGTACTTACTGAGCAGGCTACATCTTCTAATGTAGCTGAAAATGATTCAACAAGATTGTGGGGCAACTGAGAGAGAAATCCAATGGTATCAACATACAGAACAGTCAATCGAGATGGCAGGTAGCCAGCATGTGCTGTAATGTCCAATGTGGCAAAAAGTTGATCTCGAGGCTGTAGCTTTGCATCTCCTGTGAGGGCCTTGATTAGAGTGGTTTTCCCTAACATAAAGGCAGAAGTGATATAAACTGAACAGTTTGCTTCATGTAATCTTTCGTTAAAAGAAATAAACAATGACAATCATAGAAAATCACTACTGAATGCATATATAAGTACATCACGCTCTAGCTTCAAGGCATATGTTATTTACTTGAAATTTGGAAATTCCCTCCTAACTGAAAACCTAATTTTTCCTGTAGTTTTCTAGGTGGAAAGGACAGCAAAAGCTACAATTACCATTTGGAATGTGCATGCCAATTTTCCATTCAGGAAATGTCTCATCATATTTTCCACAAATTTAAAAATTCTATACAAAGGCGTATACATGTTTACGTGAATATCCAGCATAATGGTCCTTACCACAATTAGTATAGCCCATTACTGAAATAATTGGAAATTCATACTTCTTCCGTTGTTTTCTGAGTAAACTTCTATTTTTTTTAAGCTTCCTTAGAGCCTTTTGAATTTTAACTTCTTTTTCTTTTAAGAGACGAAGCTGAATTTCCATGAAAGTTTCACCTGTCAAAAATATAGAAAGAGAATATTAAGATTGCTGCATTTTTATTTTTATACCTATATAAGAATAAAAAATGCGCTAATCATATTTTGCACCAATATTTTGGTGCCACCAGTAATCTAATATTTACATTAATCAGAGTAAATGAGCATATGAGGTACTGTGTTGATTTGCAGCAATTCTGCCAATAATGACAATAAACATTCTCAAAATCTCAAAAACTATAAAACTGTACACTTTCTAGATACCAATTCTATCTTATAAATATTGATAATTATTAAAATTGAATGCATACTATGGAAATCAGGAATTTTAGGAGTCAAGGACTCAAAAGCTGATAAAATACAATGGTTCCTTGATAATCAACAGTTTTGAAACTCATTAAATTTGGTACTCCAGGCATTTTGACACAAAATTTTTGTCCTGGTACTCATCATTTGTTTGTACTCAATGTATAAATTAGAACTCATCGGTGTCAGCTGCCTTGTGACTTACTACATTATTCCTTATGAGAAAAAAATATTTGGTGTTTGTTCTGGCCCCCCTCCGTCCGGTAATGAACGCAGACACAGGCTTAGCTGTTTGCCAATCTTTATTCACAGCAATTATAATCCTGTTGGCTGAAAGCCCGGACACGACTCACTGACAAGAGGTTGGCAGCAACCCAGACTCCAACAGACACGGGAACACAAGGCAGACCAGACAAGGAGTTCTCTAGATTATTACGAATGGTTGTGTCCTGCAAAAGGACTCCTCCCAAAGTCTCTTCTTATATACTCTCTTGGGAGGGGCCAAGCCACAACCACCTGGGCTTGATTATCTCTTATGAGTCTCTCTCCGTAACTGCTGCCTCCGTTTCTCCGCGCTCTGTTGCCTGGCATCAGGGACAAACTCCCTTTGATCTTCCCCACTGCTCCATGCCTCAGGCGCCTCCTGGTGTCCAACCAACCTCTCTGGTCCCTTCTCTGAGTCTGAACCCTGCCCAGGGTCCTCCACATCTTCCATAGCAGACTCACAGGGTTCCTCACTATCGGAGTCCATCAGCAGCTCCAACGGCTCCTGCTGGGCCACAACAGGTGTTCATAATTTTTGGTACTCATCACGCCTCCCGGAATCAATTAGCAATGAGTACCAAGGGACCACTGTACAATACCACAGAATATGTATATTCCTTAAATATACTCCCTATACCTTAAGGCTATTTATGCCCTCCTTAATGTATCATAGCTATAGCAATCTCTAAACATTAACAGAAGACATTTTTATAATCACCAATCTATGGAAAGAATAAAAAAATATTTTTGTATTCTTATTTAGAGTTTCTATGGAGAATCCACAGAATCAAATCCAAGCAAATATTTTAATATAAGTTTGCCTAACATTATAAGAAGAGTTCTATAAAAATACATAGTACATAGAAATGACTTACAGTAGTTCTGAATTGTTTTTTTTTAGGGCCATACATATAGATGGCCAAATACTATGGGACTGTCTCAACCTACAAGTCAGTTAGATTTTAACAAGAATGTTTGCTATTATATAGAGAAAAAAGGCATGTCAGTTAAGTACAAGGTCAAATATTTTTGTAAACAGACACATTTATTGTTTTGAAGAAAAGTGAAAGATTTATAGCCTCTTTTATGACAAAATATTTTGGAATGTTTTGATTGGTTATTGAGATATTTTCTTTTCCAACTTATTCATACTACCTGATCCCATAATGTATCTTGAGCCCCCTCTCTGTTGATCTAATTGAGCAACCTCATTTCTCACATTGGTTCTAGGAAAAGACAGAAGGAATATTTTAAGTGATCTACTAGTCTACTGAAAGTTTATAATACAGTGATAATACAGGCAGTCCTTGAATTACGTTCACAAATTATATCCAGAAAATTTGTTGCAAAGTGGTATGGCCACTAGGTGAGGCATCTTATGAATACAACCAATTTTATAAATTTTTGACATGATCATTAAGCAAATCACCACCAATATTGAGACATCAAATGATATCAATTAGCGACATTCCCTGTCAGTTTACCTACTGGTCAGTGAGAAGATAAATGCAACCTGGTTCCCAAGTGCTCAAATTATGATCATGTGACCACAGAGGTAGCATGATGGTCATAACTTTGAAGATGGGTTATAAGTCATTTTTTTCAACACCAACGTAATTCTAATCATTTAATCGTGTCAGGTTTACTGGAAACATGCACATCACATTCATTTTAAAAATTCCAAAAAGTTGAATTAAAATAATTGTCAAATTAATGGTTAAATTAATGGTTGTAATTTGAACACAATCTGAAGCCTTGACTCTGGTAATATATTTATTAAGCTCAACTGATTTAAATGAATATAAATTTTCAAATATTCCTAAAGATTTTGCTGCCCAAATTATGGTACATAAGGGCCTTGTTGCTATTAGAATTATGTTATTGATTTCCTATATTTTAATTTAAATCTTGTTAATCTAATCATTTAAGGCACAGTAACACATAAGCAAATACTATTTAATATAGAAAGTAATACATAAATAATATAATTATGGGTATGGAACTCCAGTTACTATTAACAATAAACACATCGCAGCCAGTTGACATTCATAATAATTTAAAATAAATTTGGAATTTGGAATAAAATCTAATTTTGGAGAACACTGACATTCAAATGATGCTTTCAATGTGAGAAATACAGTATATTGAGAACTAGTCCAGAAACTAATGTCATAAGTTATTTCAGGATTTCCAAAAGCTGTCTCTCTCACACACATACATCTTCAAACACAAAGCCATAAAATAAAACAAAATATTATTATGTGGAATTATAATAATCAGGTTTCCATGTTTGATCTCAATTTTCTTATGTGAAACATTGTACAAATGTATAGACATATAATCTAATGCAAGTAGGCAACGCATTATTTTAATTATTACCTGAAAATATATTTTCCATATCGTTGATACTAACATTACTTTCACTACTTTGTATACCTTAGAAGTGGCAGTTCAGCCAAAGCTATCTGGAGTTTTGCCTCCTTTGTTTGAGCATTACATCGGAAAATATGAAGGACAATGGTGTATCTGTCAAAAACCTTCACACCCCAGGCTTTTTCAAGTTCTTTCTATACAAATATAATGGAAATGGAAATTTTTAATATTTCTGCAAATTTACTTGCATTCAAGCCTCTCTCTAGCCTATGATGAATAAAAGCTAAAGTGCATCATGTGGGGATAATTCATCATCATACAGCGCACTCTAATAACAAAGGAACATTTGGGTTGCCTGGTGACCCCTTTTCATAAGTGCAGTATCTGAGGGTGAAAAATTACAAAGAACCCAGAAAGGTAAAGTATGCCAAACTAGATCAAATAATTACAGATGCAAAATTAAATATTTATTTACATACATGAATATACCTCCTCTTATTCTAGGCAGCTAACAATAAAACACGCTATTGAGCGTAATATTTAAAATATATTCAATAAATACAAATAAATCATGTAACCTTTGAGATAGACAAAATACCTACTCCCAATATTTTCTATTATAATACAAATTCTCTTTCCAACCACAAGGGCCACTGGAAAGCTATGGTCTTCCAAACTGGTAACAGGAAAGAGGCCACTATTCCAAAGAAAATATTGCTACTGAGCAGATCTGTTTACACACTATTCCAGAAGGTACATGACGGAATACTTTAATTAGCCTGGCATCTTATGGAAGACAAGCTGTGCCATGCAGAGCTTTTCTAGGAAATTCCTGACTTATCTTGCAGATGCCCCCTCTCCCCTATGGATGAAAGAAATGATGGTGGAGAAAGATGCAAGAGGATCAGTTGTCTTGGACCTGATAACAACAGAAAGCTGTAGGATTTTTCCCTTTGGTTGATTTAAATTGTTACTATTTTGGAGTTGGCAGAAAATAGCACCAGCATGAATTCTGCTTTCTCTATTGGTAATCTCAATCATGGGAGTATAATATAAATACCTGAACCAAAACCTCTAAACTTCAAAAAACCCTGAACTCAAGAAAGTTTCCTTAATAGCTTATTTAAGCAGTTGCAGATGCTGGTTTGCAAGTTGTCTGAAATCAGCACTTGTATTTTTAAGTGGTAATTAGGAAGTAACCACCCACAAAAACTAACTAGTGCTGACTTCTATGTTATCATATTGCTTATCTCTCTACAACCAGAAAATCTGAGCCATGTCATGGTTAGCATTTGCCATTATTACTGGTCAAGCATTTATTATAAAGATGATGCTATCCATTCAATCATGTTGATTTTTGACAATTCTATGGGCCAAGCCTCTCCACATTTTCCAATCTTATATGGCTTCTTTCAGTTGTTTAATGCTATGGCTGGTGTCAGGTTTACAGGAAACATGCACCCTATATTCATATAAAAATTCCAAAAAGTTGAATTAAAAGAATTGATATTTTCAAACTAAAATGTACTTACTTTAGCTACAGGAGAGAGCATTTCTACATTTACGAAGACAGATGATAAAAAGGGCAAACTTTTAATTTTTTCTGAAAGGAAAAATTAAGATAATTATATTTGGAAAGTAAGATCTAATTATTTTGTCTTTAGGAATGAAATGATATTGAAAACTACAATAATTCAGTCAAGCAATGGTTCAAATGTTTATCAATCAAATCTCTGATAGCTTAAGCAAGGTATAGCATCACTCATGTTAAAAAAAATATTAAGAAGTACAATATCCACTATTTCTAATTTATTTGAAAAAACATTAAAAACATGACAATACTGTATTTTCATTGCAAATGAGAATTTGAACCAGATTTCATACAAATAGAAATATTCATAGGAACTTAATTACAGGTAGTCCACAAGTTACAAATGGAGTGGAGCCTGCCCATCCCATGCGTAACCCGAGGATTCGTAGGAGTGAATCTTGTACCTTGAATGTGATCACTCCTTCCTTTTGCCCATGCATTTGCTAATCAAAAGCACAGCTCCTTAAGTGCAGGTGAGATATCTTGGGGTGGGGAAGGCCATGGTGGGGAGGTAGTGATGAAACAGGTCACCTGCTTCAGATCACCCAATGTCTCCCCTGACCCACAAGGATGTCATTCTCCTTCCCCTGGAGGTCCTTCTGAGCCTCCTTTCTCGCTGCTGCACTACTTGAGGACCACTTTGGTGATGAAAAAGGAGGCACGGAGGGCTGTGTGCGCCATTCCAGGGCTCCTTTCTCACGGACAAACTGGTTGAAGATGGCTTCAGCAATGAAAAAGGAAGCACGGAGGGCTGCATATGCCATTCTGGGCCTCCTTTCTCGCCCCAAAACTGGTTGAGGAAGGCTTTGGCAATGAAAAAGGCATGGAGGGCCACACACGCACCCCCAGGCCTCCTTTCTTGCCACTGAGGCACTTGTGGACTGCGTCCCTGTAGGCTTTGGCAGCTATTTGGAAAAAGCCTTTGCCAGTAGCAACAGAGCTTTGGAGGGAGGCATCTGTCCCTCCCAAGCTTCACTGCTGCCGACAAAGGCTTTTTGCAAGGGGCTGCCAAAGCCTACAGGGGCGCAATCTCCCTGTAAGTTTGGCAAGGAAATGGCAAACAGAGAGAAGGCCTGAAGGACCGAAGTCTTCCGTCCATTTGCAAATATCCAGGCCTCAATTCGCAGAGAATAGAGCCTTACAGTACGAGATCATGAAAGATTAGTAGCACGAGATCTCGCATTACAGATCTCGCATGATCTCACGGTACATTAGACCTCTGTTCTCTACAAATGCACCGAAACCTGGAAGCAATGAAGTAGGCAAAGAAACTGTGACAGAGAGATCTTTGCAAGGTGAGTCGCCACAAGTGGAGTGGCTTTTATCATGTAACTTCAAATGTTTGCTAAGGGAACGCTTGTAATCCGGGGATTACATATATAAGTATTACATACATTAAGAAAAGTTTTGAGATACATTCTTACCAGTTAGAAGTTGAAAATTTCCTTTCTGAAAGATAAATTTCTTGTCAGGAATTTGTATAGGCAGAATGATTTTATCTATCACGGTCCAGTTTTGAAGGGTGTTTATTAGAGTAACAGCTTCAGCTAGCTGCAATTCAGCTATAATATTGGGGGGGGAAATTAATTGTAACAATAATCACACATCACATACTTCTAACATTTGCCTATATATAAGCAACTGCATTAAAATGGATGTAATGATACCTTATAATATTTATTTTTTTAAAATTAAGGGGAAGTACTACAGAAATATGGAATTTTATTAGCATGCTTTCCATATATCAATAGTACAGACGTCAGTAAAATGTCAATTATATTCATTCAAGTTTGAATGCATTAAATGATAAAACACAAATTGAACCCAGTGGTTTCTATCTTTTCCTTTATAAGCACTCTAACAGCAACAAAGATTTCTGAGAATCATCATATAAACTAGTTTGGCAACATGGCATATGATTCCTAAAGATGATGCCCATGGAACACCAACATTCAATAAAAATGGCTACATTTAAAACAATGAAATGGCTGAAATCACAAATTACCAACTTTCATGAGATTTTGATGTTCCTATCCTGTTTATAATAGTAGCAAAAAATAAAAATCCCAAATCTTTTAAAATATGACCTCTCAATATTTCTCCCCCTTTAAAAAACATGTATATTGGGGTATCAACACTAACTACCTGTAGTAATCTTTAAAAAATAAAAATTGTTTTAAAATGTTACTTTTTGGCCTGCCATTTGTAGAGTACCTGAGAATGGGTGAAGACTATGACCACATTTGGATTAGATTAATGTTAAAAAAAGTTTATGCTCTGTCCATTTTGAAGAATTTGGGACAAATGAAACTATGCCCTTTTCCCAAAGACCTTAAGTATGATTGAAGTGTTAATGTAAATAAAATAATAAAATAATAAAATGATAAAATAATTAAATCACAATAGATTAATGTTAACTAGCTTTTTCTTAAATATTAACGTTAAATGAAAGCTTCTTTGATATCTCTTTTCAATACTGAGAGATCACTGTAAATCTACTGCAAAAAATTGGGAATGATGACTAGAAAGTATACTGTCTTTTAGGCATCCTCTGGATTTCTACATCTCAGAGGTCATAGGCCCGTGATGGTGAACCTGTGGAATGCGTGCCACAGGTGATATGCAGAGCCTCTCTGCAGGTATGTGAGCTGTCGCCCCAGCTCAGCTCCACTGTGCATGTGCATGAGTCTCCCTCTGGCCAGCTGATTTTCGGGTCTCTGCTGCACATGCACAGGGGGACGGGGGGCATGCAGGAGACGTGCACACATGCACGGGGGGCTGGGGTGTGCACAGAGGGTATTGTGCGCAAGCACAGCATGGGTAGGAAGCACGGGAGGGTCATGCATGCATGTGTGGGGGCGTGGCACATACAGGGGTTGCACACACATGTGCAGGGAGGTGGGGCATGAGGGGGGAGGTCATGCGCACATTGCACTTTCAGCACGTGACAACAAAAAGGTTAGCCATCACTGTCATAGTCCTACCCTTGGTGTTCCTTGAAATTGCCTCATTTTCTAAACCAGAGGTACAAAAAACCTACAATATGCACAAAAACCACTGCATCATCATAGTAACACCATCTTTCTATTACTGGAAATATTATGGATATGCAACTTTGGGGAAAACCCTCATTATGAGAAAGGTTGCAACTTTTACTTTAAAAAAAAGAGTTCTACCCTATCACGATCCCGTGTTACATAACTGCAGTTTATTAAACCCCCTTAGTAGAGCTTTTGCTTCACAGAGGTTCTCAGCATTTGCACAGCATCCAAATGCACCGAGCGTGGCTCATGCATGCAGCCAGACTGAGTTGCACCTGGGTTGGCCCCTCTAAGCAGCCACGGCGACAATCTTGATCACACCTGTGGTCAGCTTCGGCTTGTCAGGTCCCCATTTCACAGCCGGGTGTACAATAAACACTCTTTGAGCCTCCAGCGAGACAAACGGTAATCTGGACTCCTCCAACAGCTTGTCTTCTACATCCAGGTCTTCTTCTTCTTCATCGTCGTTGTCTACCAGGTCCCCCTCCTCGTTGTCTTCCGTCCCCCAGGAAGAGAGCGTACCAGCCCCACTCTTTCCCCGAGCCGGTCCATCGCCGGATGGCGGCTGGCGATAATTGACAGCAGAGTTGTGCCAGAACCTAACGGGATTTCGCCACTGACAGGTAGCTGGCAACAGGCGAACCTCTGGGCGAAATATCTGAACCAAGCACTGCAGCTGGCGCCATCGGGAACCCATGGCAATCAATACGTGCAACACTCATTACATTCCCCAAGGGGCTCTGCCTCAGTTAAGAACAAGATCTGTGGCGGAACGGAAGTGCCTTCTTTGTTGATCCCACCGGTTGGTGCAGCATGCCTGGAAACCCCGCCCTTCTCCGCCATTCTTCACCTCCCGGCAAAGGAGGGGAAAAAAAAACCTCCGAGGGGTGGGGTTTGAAGAAAGCTTCTCCCTTCCAGATAAGGAGCCGATAATCTTTTCCGGGCGGCTGTCACCACATTCCTTTTTCATTGGGTGGGTCGAGACGCGTGAAGGGAGAGCGACGGGAGGAGGGCGGGAGTTGGCCCTGGCTCTGCGCCAGGGATTGAGTCAGCGGTAGGGACCGCCCTGCTTCGTTCTTTCGGGTCCGAATCGGCTCACTCTCTGGACCGGCTCAGCCCGCTGGGTAGGGGGCGCGCGCGCGGTCCCTGTCCGTGCTGGTGGCTGGGTTTGGGGAGGGGGTGAGCCGGCCGTGGACACAGCTTTGCTCCCTCTTTGGTTCTCCCAGGGGCTGCAGTTCCCCGCGGGGCTTGCAATAGGCGCCCTGCAGCTTTCCTCTCTCGGTGTCTTTCTGTAGCTGCTCCGCCGCTCTCCTTTACACTGGCTTTACTATCTCGTAATGTATAGCCCCCTCCTTTATGACCCCCCCTCGTTTCCCCCTTCCTCTTTCTTTGGCAAACCCAAAACTTCCTTGGCTGAGGCTTTGTCTAATTCCCATTCACGGTCTCAACCGCCAATTGTGAGTTCTTTGCGCTGAAAACTTAAAAAAGCTGGAGGTAGCGTCTTTGTGATTTGGGAGGTTTTTTTTCCTTTTTGTATCCGACTTTGACAGGGCAGGGTAAACTCCTTCCTTCATGTACATTGCTGCCATATTTGTATGTTTGTCTTTGATTTGCGCCCATGGTGATATGAAATGTCTCCTTTCTTGCACTGTCTGCACTATACTTTGTGCAGCTTTGCACAACAGTTAAAGGACTTTATTTTCATGTTACAGAGTCTTATATGGTCTATTGCATCATAACAATATTTAAGTCAAGGTAAACCTTCAATGCCTGGAATGCACTACCTGACTCTGTGGTTTCTTCCTCAAACCCTCACAACTTTAACTTTAGGCTTTTTATTGTTGACCTTATCCCATTTCCAAGAGGTCTGTAAGGGACATGCATAAGCCGAAGTGCCTACCATCCCTGTCCTAATGTTCCTTTTTATGTATTCAAAATTACGTTTATACTTATATATGTTATCTAATACATGCTTGATAAATAAATAAATAAAATAATAATAACGAAGTAATGATCTAAACTTCAGAGGCAAGGAGGTAGAGAAAGAGCTTCCTACCTGTCAGATCTTAGAATACTATATATACTGTAGAATCTATGCTATCTGTGTCAAGCCACCACATACAGTACATAATTTCCACATTCCCTCTATCTTGGAATGGGAAATGCATCTGTTTTTATAGTGTGTCCTGTGTGGCATAGTTTCTATATAGTAATCTAAAATGCCGAATGCAAAGATTCAGTTGGGAGTTCAATTCCCAATAGGGTTTGACCATCTGGTTACTTGCGTTTTGATGATTCACAATATAGATGAAATCGGTAACAAGGCATTTTCTGGTTGTGGTTGTAACTGTAACTGTGTTTAAGAGTATTTCATCAAGAACAAATTATTAGGATGTCCCAAAGGTGCTTTTTCAAGAGGCAACTGGATTTTTCTGTTTTTTCTTTGAAGATGTTTTGCTTCATGGATGAGAAGTGAAACATCTTCAAAGAAAAAAAACCCAGAAAGTCCAGTTGCCTCTTGAAAAAGCCCCTTTGGAACAATCATGACCTCCTGGATGATTGAGAATCTCCATAGACAAATTATTAGGATGATTGTGGTAAGAGATTTCCAATAGATACTCACTTAAGAATGTGAGTGCAGGGGAAAAAAGCTTTATATCGACAATCTGCTGATTTAGAGTTTTGAGTTCTGAGAATATGATATCTAGTGACATCCTGCTTCTAAATGACTTGGAAAAATTGTTGATACTAACAGTGGTTATATTTGTGAGCATTGAGACATTGTGAAAATACTTTACCATTAAGAATAGTACTTTCAACGGAGATATGTTTTCTTTGTTCTGAACATGAATATCTGAGGGGTTGCCACAAAGAAGAGGGAGTCAAACTATTCTCCAAAGCACCTGAGGGTAGAACAAGAAGCAATGGGGGAAACTAATCAAGGAGAGAAGCAACTTAGAACTNCCACAATGGCTTCTAATATACCATGAAACACCACAATCATTAACTCTGATTAGTCCAGGATTAAATATTATTTATTCTTCTTATTGATAAAACTTTTCTTTACATTTTAAACTGGGATGTTTCCAACAATTGCATCTCATTCCCAAAGACATAAATCTGTTGTAAATATCTCTACAGCATTTGTTGTTCAAAGAATCTTTTTACAAGTTGAAATGGACATCTCTTGGCAATTGTTTTCTGATTGGATATAATAAGTCCATTCCCCAATTTCTACCAATCTTCTTAAGAAATACCAGTTCATCACTCATCAATTCTGCCATCTCTAAATCTTTTGAACTCATGCCTCTTTCAGCCTTTTTCAACAAGTTGTAATTCTCAAACCAGGTTCCAAACTTCAAATCTGCTAGCAACAAATTAGATTCCAATCTATCTGATTGTAAGTCTGGTTTAACTGCTATTACTTGCATCCGAGTGCCATCTTTGGGTTGATTTAGACCTGTTGTTAATTTATCAATTCTTTTATCCAAGTTTTCAATTAGCTTGTATGTTGAAAAGCATTTTTTTCAAGGCTTCCCAGAAGGAATTGCCAAATTTCTATTGACTTAAAAAAGTGGAAGAAGAGCTACAGAATTTACACACCGGAGCAAACAAGTCTAGGGCACTGTCTGGGTTCTGTCATATGCAGCTCTTTTGCACCTGTATGGCTTCTATCTTGTCTGCAATAAAACAAGTTATCCAGCTATGTTTATTGGTGACCTTGTATCATAAGCAAAATCCTGAATCCTGAAGGCAAATGTTGAAAACATTGGAAATTCTGAGATGCTAAGCATATTTGAGATATGCTTATGAATATTGTACCAAGGGTTATCAATCCTGTGCGTGTTTCACCTGGATGTGCATTCCACTGAATTATTCATAGATGAGAATACAATTGTAATTAAATCTAATAATTAAATAAAAGGCAACATAGTACAATGGTGCAGGATATCGATTATGCTGGATGCTAGTTTTTTGTTGACTTTTGAATCTCTGACACTGTGACCTCATCATTGTTTTAAAATAAAGTTTATGTGAATACTACTGCAATACATTAAAGGCTCATTTAAATTTCCTATTGTTGTTTCCATAGGAATGGTTACTGCAGAGATGTTCCAAAGTTTACAGAACTGTGAAGTGATGCATAAAATGACAGAGAAATTTGATGAAGTAGGTCCCTCCTTTCCTAAGGCAGGAGAGCACAGCTTCATTGGTTTGAGGGACACATGGGAGGCATGTAGAAGGCTATAGTCCAGAACTGTTGTGAATAATTTTTAATCTGCAATTTAATTTATTACATAGCTTTTATTTTTAATTGCATTTAGGTAAGACTTCAATAGCAGAATAAATAAAAGTAGCAGCTTTGTAATGTCACTGTGACCGGTGCACTGTAGTTTACGTGTTGAAATAAATCTGGGAAATCCAGATTCAACCCTCTGTCATGGAAGCTCACTAGATAATTTTGTCTGTTTTAGGCTAATCTCTGCCACAGGGTTGTGGTGGGAAAAATGAACAGGGAAGCGCTATGTACCATATCTCTTTCGGTTTGCTTCAAAAAAAGAGCATGGTACACATTAGCATACAGACATTTAAGCACCCTAGTCAAACCCTAATTTTCAATGTTTCTGAATGTTTTATATAACAGCTCATCTGTGTGCTTCTTCATTGACTTAAGTATTGATGGCAGTTTCACTCATGAAAACTGAAGATATAGGTAGGATTTTGCCAATACCTTGGAGGTGATAAAGAAATCCTTACTTATACGGAAATGTCAAAATACACAAAAACTGTTTGAATTTAGCTATGGGTGTTTATAATTGTATTTAATTATTATGAGAACATTGACGTTGTTAAACATCACTGCTTAAGTTTTGTTTTGCCTTTATGTATTATAGGAAACAGGATTGCAATATAAAAGGTTTATGGCTTATCCCTGGATTTTGACTGTTACGTGGCCAGTGGACATGGTAAAATAATTATTTAATATATACTCAACCCTTTATTTTGCTGGAATTTATGTAGGGATACCAAATAAGGGTCTTAGACTGCATGCAATACATGTAGTGACAGTAACCAAGATTGCTGCAAACTTTCACAAGATTCCAGAACCTGTTCAATATATAATAAAAAGGTTTGCATTTTCTAAAATACCAGTAAATACCAGTTCAATTGTTAGTCAGTTTTTATCATGTATTTTAAAATGTAATTCTTACAAATGATATTCTTTATGTTTCTCTATTAACTAAAAAGAATTATGTTGCTTAATGCACATTCTTCTCCTACCTTAAACCAAAGGCAATTATTTTTATGTATGCTAGCAATATGTGATCGGTTGCTAACAAAATCAAGAAAAATTCATGCAGGCTTCTTTAATTTTATCTTGCTGCAGTGGTGGGTTCCGGATCCCGTTCCAACCAGTAGGGTTGGAACGGGCCCGGCGGCATCCACATGGATGCACTCAGTGCATGTGCAAGCGTCTTAGCGCCTCCGTGAGCCTCTGCAACGCTCCAGCTGCTCAGTGGAGCATCGTGCAGGTGCTGTACGTGCTGAAAACTTAAAAGACCAGTAAGGAACTCAGGCAGATGGGCCCTCCGGAGCACCGTACCGGAACGGTATCTGGTGCTCCGGGCAGGCTCCGGTATGCCCGTACTGGGGCGTACTGCCTGCAACCCACCACTGCCATGCTGTACTATTCATTCCACCTCATATCCTTACAGTTTGGAGAGGTAGGAAAGGTATGAAATGTTGGAGCTGAAGTGAGCCTTCTCAGAGCTAATTGTGAGGGTTGAGGGCACCCCCTGACACAGATAACAACAACCTTCTCTCTAATAAATTGGACAGTGGTAATCTAACAAATA